GGGGAAAATCCTAAAAAATCGGACAGAAAGATACAGTAGATACAGTGACATTCCCAGAAATCCTCACCCCAAATCCATCAAAAGTCCCAATCCTTCCCAAAAACTCAACACACTCCATGGGAACATTCCCCCTCTTTGGGCTGCAAGTTTGGGGACTCCACAGGGAAAATCCTACAAACTCTGACATTCCCAGAAAGCTGGAGTGAAATCCTCACCCCAAATCCATCAAAACCCCTAAAAATCCTTCTCCAAAACCCCACTGATCACAGCCCTGCCTTCCCCTGGGAAAAAAAATTCCCCTCTCTGGGGATCAGGGCAAATTCCAACCCTAAATTCCAAACTGGGATGGAAAGGAGGGACAAATGTCCTGGATTTAATCCCTTTTCCACACCCTGGGGGTCCCAAACCCCCAAAGATGGGATCTGGGGAAAATCCAAGGATTCCTGGAGCTCTGTCCATGAGAACTTGGGAATACCCTCATGGACATTCCTCAAGGGATTTCTGAGGAATTCGGGGTTGGAGCCAGAAGGGGGTCGGGTTTTGGGATAGGATGAGGGGAAATGACCTCAAATTGTGCCAGGGACTGGGATTTCCTCATGGAAAAGGGTGGAATTCCCATCCCTGGAGGTTTCCAGGGAATTTCTGGGTTCAGGCACTCCGGGTGAGGATCCCTCTGACCCTACAGAGCTTTTCCAACCCCAGGAATTCCTGGGAATCCTCCTGTGCCCACATCACCCCCACTTCCCCTCTTCCTGGAGCCTCCCCTTTGCTGAGCCACCCAAATGATGAGACTCGGGAGAAAACAAAAGGAAACGACCCCAAAACAAAGGAAACCACCCCAAAATAAAGGAAACCACCCCAAAATAAAGGAAACCACCCCAAAAAAAGAAACAACCACCCCAAAAAAAGGAAACCTGCGCTGGGGCCTCACGTCAGCAGCACCAGGCCGGCGTCAGCCGCGGCTTTGGTTTCCTGACGCTCATTTTCTGCTGATTTTTTTGCTGGTTAGGGGAGAAAAGAAACCCCGAGCTCGTCCTTGCCGTGAGAAAATCTCTCACAGGAGAATTTCAGAGCTGCCAGGCCCAGCTCCAGCCCAGCAATTCTGACATGAATTTCACCCCTCACGGTGGAGTTTCCGTTCCCACATTATGGAAAATCCGCGGAGGTTCCCAGATTTTGGAGGGCAAATTCCCCTGGGCCCTGAGGGGCAGTCAGTGTCCCCTAGGCTGGGATTAAAACCCTCAGGCCCGGCCCAAACAGGGCGTTACTCATTCATTTATTTATTTATTTATCCAGGGGAAAATGGGATTTTTTTTCTCCTCAAGAATGTGATTCTTTTCCAGGGAAAAATGGGATTTTTTTCTCCTCAGGAATGTGATTTTTATCCAAGGAAAAATGGGAATGTAATCCCCCCACAAATACAATTATTATCCAGGGAAATATGGGATTTTTCCTCCTCAGGAATGTGATTTTTATCCAAGGAAAAATGGGAATGAAATCCCCCAGAAATGCAATTATTATCCATGGAAATATGGGACTTCTTCTCAGGATTGTGATTATCATCCAAGGAAAAATGAGATTTTTTTTCTCCCTCAGGATTGTGTTTATTATCCAAGGAAAAGTGGGATTTTTTCCCCTCAAGGATGCAATTATTATCCAATGAAAAATGAGATTTTTTTTCCCCCTCAGAATGTGATTATTATCCAGGGAAAATGGGACTTTTTTCCCCTCAGGATTGTGATTATTATTCAAGGAAAAATGGAAATTGTTTCCCCTCATAAATACAATTATTATCCAGGGGAAAATGGGATTTTTTCCCTCAGGAATGCAGGTATTTTCCAGGGAAAAATGAGATTATTTTCCCCTCTAGAATACAGCTGTTATTCAAGGAAAACTGGGATTTTTTTCCCCTCAGAAATACAATTATTATCCAGGGCAAAATGGGCTTTTTCCCCCTCAGGAATACAAACCTGGAAAAATCCCAAGTCCGGCCCCCAAGCATCACCTGTGAGGATTTTTTTCCACCTCTGGTGGCAAAATTGAGTCAGAATTGAGTCAAAACTGAGTCAAAATTGAGGAGATAAAAAAATCTGGCGATAATGGCAACGGAAAATCGTCACCAGGAAGACCCAAAAAAGGCAAAACCACAAAGCAGGAAGTGAAGATAAAAAAAAAATAATGATCTAAAGGAGGATTTAAAAAAAATATTGCTGCTAGGTAATTAAAAATTAATTAGGAATTAATTCCTTCTTGGAAAATGAAGGGAAATGTTTAATTTGTGTGTGGGAAGGTTTGGCAAGAAGGGGAAAATGGAATTTGATTTTTTTTCAGGGTGGTTAAAATGTTGTTAGGTTTGGTTCAGTTTTTATACAAAATTGGAGAAATATGGGAGATTTATTTGGAAGCTGAAGGGTAAAATATGCAGGGAAAAATGAGACTTTTTCCCCTTAGGAATACAATTATCCCAGAAAAAATGGGATTTTTTTCTACTCATGAATGAGATTATTTGTCATTCTTTTCCAAGGAAAAATTGGATTTTTTTCTCCTCATAAATGTGATAATTATCCAGGGAAAAACGGGATTTTTCTCCCTCAGGAATGTGATTATTTGATGTTTTTCCAGGTGGGTTTGCAAATGACCAAGTTCAGCTCATCCATCCCAGCCCAGCCCTCCCCAGGCTGTCCCATTTTCCCCAAACACACACCAGGATTTGTTTTTCCAGAGTTTTATTCCCCAAAATGCCCCTTTGTACACGATACAAACCTTCCTATACATGGTATAAACCCCTTTGGATATGTATAACATATAAAATATCCCAAATCTTCCAAATCCATGGATTTAAACACCTCTGGGATCCCTGCATCCATTCCCTGCTGGATGTTTTGGGATACTTTGGGATATAGGTTTAAAATTCACATTTTTGAGGAGCTTTTTCCCCTCAGGAATGAGACTATTTGTCTTTTTTTTTTTTTTTCTGCTGATAGTTGGAGGGAAAATCACTCCTGAATGATAAAAAATTCCATTTTTCTGGAATTTCAACAGAAACATTTTACATTCAGCAAAAGGACACTTTGGGCTCCTCCCAGACATTCCAGAGTTTGGGATTTTCTCCCAAAAAATTTCCTTTTGAAATTTGTGGAAAAGCAATTAGAGAGGGAAAATTCATTTCATGAAGTGTGGATTGAGTGTGACTCCATCCTGATTTCAGAGCTCAAGGATTTGCCCAAAAGAAAAAACATCCACACAAAATTCCCTCAGGAATTCTCCCAAGTTCCAAAGGGAGATCTGGAGTGAACCAAAGAGCTAAATCAGCCTCAAGGGAGCTCCAAACTAAGCAAACCCCAATGAGTGCCAGGGCTCCTTCAGCTCCAGGGGCTCAGAAAAGCAGGAACAACCCAGGGCGGGAATTTCAGCGTCAGTTTTTGATGAGGCTGGAGTTGGAATCGATCTGCTCCTCCTGGATGGGAATCCTGCAGCTCCCCTCCTCTGGAAAACAGGGAATGGTTCCAGGGGTGAGAACAGGATTCATCCTGATCCTAGAGCTCAGTTCTGCCACTTAATCCCAATTTTAAAACTCACCTGTGCCACTTAATCCCTATTTTAGAGTTCAATTTTGCCACTTAATGCCAATTTTAGAGCTCAGCTCTTCCCAAGTTTGCAGGAGAATTCAAGACATTTCAATTTCCATGGAAGCAAAAAAAAAATTCCCATTTTACCCTTGGAAGTTGCTTCTGGATCCTGCCAGGAAGAGAATTCCTGGCCTAAAACCAGGGAATTCTGGGATTAAGGGAAAATGAGGGAGAAGGAATGAAAGTTTGGGATAATGAGCTCCTGATCAGCTCCTCATCCTACCCTGGAACAACCTCTGGAATTCCCTGCATTCCTAATTAAGAATTCTTTTATTAATTCCCAAATCAGTAACAGGGGGCCCTGATTAATGTTTGTCCTGGTTTTTTATCCCACAAACAAAGGGAACTCACTGTGCTGGGTGCTCCTCCCAGGCCCATTCCTGGCTTTTCTCTGGGCTGCCTGGATGATCAGGAGCAGGATGGAAATTCCACTCACCATCAGCAGGAGCAGGCACAGCAGCAGCAGGGATAAAGAGCCTGGAATGAGAATGGAAAAATTCCCTAAAACACCACAAAGATTCCTGGCTCTGGATGGAGTTCCCAGATTCCAGAGGGAGAATCCAGAACTCCGGGAACGGAGAGCTCCAGCTGCCAGGGAAATGTGGAATCCTGGAATGTTGTGTGAAATACAGAAAAGAATTCAGAGAAAATTGGGAATTCCCTTCCCAGGAAACCAAACTCAGATGGAAATGTGGGATCCTGGAACGCTGTGTGAAACACAGAAAAAGAATTCTGATAAAGTGGGAATTCCCTTCCCAGGAAAGCAGTCTCAGATGGAAATGTGGGATCCTGGAATGTTGTGGGAATCCTGGGAAGCTGTGTGAAATACAGAAAAGGCTTTTGAGAAAATGAGATTTCATTTCCCAGGAAAGCAGCTTTACATGGAAATTGAGCACCTGGAAAAGTGGGATCCTGAAATGTTGTGTGAAATACAGAAAAGAATTCAGAGAAAATTGGGAATTCCCTTCCCAGGGAAGGAGCTTTACATGGAAATGTGGGATCCTGGAATGCTGTGTGAAATACAGAAAAGAATTCAGAGAAAATTGGGAATTCCCTCCCCAGGAAAGGAGCTTTACATGGAAATGTGGGATCCTGGAACGCTGTGTGAAACACAGAGGAGGGTTCAGAGACACTGGGAATTCCCTCCGCAGGGAAGCAGCTCCAGGGAACTCCCTGCCTGTCCTTACCCCATCCGGGCTCCGAGGCAGCGCCGGGATCCCGGCAAACGGCGGGGATGTCCCTGGGGCTGGATGTCCTGGAGCTGTTCTCGGGGCGTCCCGTGGGCGAGGGGTCCCCATTTTCCGGGAGTTCCGTGGGCAAGGGGTCCCTGTGCTCCGGGAATTCCGTGGGAGAGGGCTGTGGGCCGGGGCTGCTGGCACTGCCAGGGCTGCTGCTGCTGCACTGGGCATCCTCCGTGCCCGTGCCAGCCCGGAGCGTGCTCTTCCCAAAGCTGCTGCAGCTGCAAAAGAAATTCCAGAGGGTTTGCCAACAGGGAATCATTCCTGAATCCCATCCTCACAATCCCCATCTGCGTTTTATCCCTAAAAATTCAGGATTTTATCTCTACATCCCAAAGGAATGGGAGGAATAATTAAATCATAAAAAATGATCTGGGATTTTTTTTCCCAGCTGATTCTGGCACAGGAATTTTTTGTTCTCAAAAAAAACCATCTGAGAGGTTTTAAAAAATGTGGAAAATCCTAAAAATCCCCTCAGGATCCTAAAAATCCCAAAGGATGGGATTCAGAGCACTTAGATCCAGGTTTATTCCAATTTATTTCTCTGGATTTGGACTTTTCTTGGAAAAATGAAACCCCCAGAGCTGCTCTGGGCACTTTGCACCCCAAAAGACATTTTTCCCCCAGAAAAGGATATTTTTCCCCCCCAAAAAAGGACTTTTTTCCCCAAAAAGAGATTTTTTCTCTCAAAAAAGGATTCCTACTTGGTCCAAGGCCGGCAGTTCTCGTTCCCTCCTCTGGAGAAAGTCCCTTCAGGACATCGGGAGCACTCTGGGGGAAAAAAGGGATTATCCAGGGAAGGAGCAGCATTCCCAGTTTTATCCACTGGATAATTCTGAATTATCCAAGATTATTAATTCTGGATATTATCCGGGAGGATCTCACAATTCCAGCCAGTAATTGCCACATGGGAAGCAGGATTTTGGGAAGGCTGGCACATCCCAGAATTCCAAAGGGAATTCCAGCTGGTACATGCCTGGATTCACTGCTTCCCAAGGGAATTCCAAATCCCAACTCCCTGCTTCCCAAGGGAATTCCGGCTGGCTCAAATCCCAACCATTCCCAAAGGAATTCCAGATCCAAACTCTTCTTAAGGGAATTCCAGACCCCAATCACCCATTCCCAAGGGAATTCCAGGCCCCAACTCACCCCTTCCCACAGGAACGCCCCCGGCAGGCTGGAATCCTGCCTGGCACGCACAGACCCTGTCCGAGGTTTTCTCGCACGGCTTCACCTCCACGCTGCCCTTCCCTGGCCAAGGCAGAAATTCATTAATTCCTTCATTAACAGCAACAATTAACTCCTCAGGGGGTTGGGGTTTTGGGTTTAGAAGCTGCAGAATTCAGCAATTTAACAATTCGTAATTAATAATTAATTTAACAACTGAATCGTTCAACGATTCATTCGTTTGAGGATAGTGGTTTTTAGGTAGGCCCTCACAACTGGTGGAAACAGGTGGAAATAGCCAGAGGTGGAAACAACCAGAAAAGGACCCAAAAAGAGATTTATTCCCCCCAAAATGGGATTGTATCCCCAAAAAAGGGATTTTCTCCCCGTATCCCACCAAAATGCCCCAAACCTGTGATTTTTTTCCTCAAAAAAGGCGCTTTTTTTCCCCATTAAAAAAACCGATTTTGCCCCCAAAAAAGGGATTTTTTTTTTTCCCCTAAAATGGGATTTTCTCCCCAAATCCCAGCACTCACGGGCGTTGCAGATGGTGCAGCTTTTGCAGAAGCCGTGGTGGTGCTGGGAGCTGAAATATCCATCCTGGCACGGCGAGCACACGGTGTCGGCCGAGGCCGTGCAGCGGCTCCGCATCCTCTCTCCTAAAAACACCCAAAATTTGACATTCAATAGGATCCTGAGGGGAAAAATCCTGAATTTCATCCTTTGGGAACAAACAGTGTATCACTAGCACTGTCGACTGACTCCACATCCTCTCCCCTAAAAACACCCCAAAAATTGGGATTCAGTGGGGTCCTGAGGGGAAAAATCCTAAATTTCATCCTTTGGGATCAAATGAAGCCCAGAATTTGGCAGTTCTTGTTTTTTAAGGAGAAAAAGCCCTGGAAGTTTGGCCAGGAGGAAAAATCAACATTTAATGGAGCAGCCGAGAAGGGATGGGGTGGGCTGAAATTGGGCAAAATACCTCCAATTTTTGTGCCAGTGGATCCCAAATATCCCTTCTAGAGCCAGGGAAAAAGGTTTAGGAAATGTTCCTGACTGAGGCATTTAGGAAGCAAAAAAACATCAAAAAAAAGTTAAAAACCACTCTCAAAGATTTTTCCATTTTTTGGGTGTAAAACTTATTTTTATCAGTCTAAAAAGTATTTCACTAAAAAAATAGGTATTACACTAAGAAAAAATTTGATATTCCCCTAAAGCCCAGCTCTCCCACCCCAGGCCCCGCAGCGGGCACTCACCTGGGGCGCAGTCGCTGCAGCATTTGTCATGGAAGCTGTATTGGTGCTCCTGACATTCCAAGCCCAGGGAGCCGGAGATAGGCAGGGTCAGGAGCCAGCAGAGAGCGGGAAAATTCCAGGGAATCCTTGGAAGCGCCATTCCCGCCATCTCCCTCAGGGTGCTGTTCCCTCACGGCACCAGCACCGTCCCCTCACGGCGCTGTTCCTTCACGGCGCTGTCCCCTCACGGCGCCTTTCCCTTCACGCCTCTGTTCCCCTCACAGCTTCTCTTCCCTCACGGTGCCTTTCCCCTCACAGCTTCTCTTCCCTCACGGCTCCGTTCCCCTCACGGCTCCGTTCCCCTCACGGCTCCGTTCCCCTCACGGCGCTGTGAGAGCCTCGCGAGCGAGAACGGCTCCGGGCGGGGACATTTGAGGGAAATTCCTGCTTTCTTCCACGCCCCTTCCCGCTCCCGGTTTGGGGTTTTTCGGCAGGAAAAGGAAATGCTGAGCTTGAGAAGGGTTTAAGGGGTAAAAGGAGCCCTCATGGGAGGGCGCCCCGATGGGAACGGCTCGAAAAGCAGGGATGGAGGAGCGCTGTGGGAATGCCCTGGCTGAGGCGGGGAGATTGCGGGAATTCGGGAATTTCGTTTTCCAGACTGCTGCAGCTGGAGCCAGGAGCTCAGTTAAGTTCTAGGAGAGCTCCCTGGCATCACTGAATCAACAAAATACTGGGAATTAAGGAATTTCATTTTCCAGCCTATTAGAATGGGATCCAGGATCTCAATTTTAGGTGTTCCAGCTGTCTGGAATTGCAGCTTTACCTTCACCGACTCCAGGAAATACTGGGAATTACAGATTCCATACTCATGTTGTCCCAAAATTAAATCAGGATGATGTTGGCAATATCTCTTCATAGATAAATTACAATCATCAGTAAAATGAATTATGATTTTACTGGAATTTTTGTGTTTAAACTCATTTTATCAGAGATTATCTATGGAATTTATTCCTCTTATTTCCCACCCCACCCTGACAAACCTTAAAAGCATCAGAATTTCCAAAGCATGGAGAGAAATATTTAATGGAAAATAAAAACAAAAAGGATATAAAATCTTTTATCCAAGGAATTTAATAAAAACATCAAATAAAGAGCAGGAAAAGGGAAAGAGGGACAGCAATTCCTGTATTTACATTATATTAAGAATAAATTTAATCAAATAAAACATCTCAGATTTCCAGGAATTCTTTCCCAAAGAGGGGTTTTTCCCAGGAAAGATGGAAGCAGAGGGAAAAAGTCAATTTTATTTGGGAAGGAGCTCACCCAAAGCCTGGAATTTCCCCCAAATCATCATCAGCAGCTCATTAAAAGCATTAATTAGCATAGAGCTCATTAATTTTAGCACTGAATATTAATTAAGCAGCCATCAAACTCCATGGGAACTCCCACTGCTCTGTCCAATAGCTTAAATTCTGTCCAATTGATTTTTGACTAAAATCTGATATTTTAAAGCCATAATCTCCCATTCCCAGTGCAGATGTCAACAAAACAATGTCATTTTAATATTAATTTAATCTTAATTAATGTTATTTCATTTTTTAAAATTCGCTCTGAAAAGGTTTTCTGTAACATTTTAAATAAGTTCTTCCCCACAGCTCCCTGAAAAAATTCCATTAAATTCCCAATAACTCGTCAGGAAGTTAAGAAAAACACTGGAATTGAATGTGGATATTCCCAGGAGGTCAAACATTCCTTGGAACCACCAAAATTCCCAAAATCCAGCCTTTATTGGGATTCCCTGGATCAGCAGCTGAGGAAAACAAATATTTTAGGAGCCGTCCAAATGGAATTGGGTATGGAGGACAAACATTCCTTGGAATCACCGTTCCCTTCCCAAAACCCAAGTTTTACTTGGGATGCCCTGCATCAGCAGCTGAAGGAAACCAGGGAATATTCCAAGATCCTCCCACGCAGAATTCCAGCTGGCTTCAAGCCCCCAAACCAAGGAGGAAAACCACCTGAATCCGGGAATTCCCACCATTCCTTCCAGCAGGAAAATCCCCTCCGAGGAGCTGGGACGGACGGAAAATCGCAAATTCGTGACCACCAATTCCCGCTGCTCGGCTGAATCCTTTTATCCTGGATTTCTTTGGGGGGGGTGGGGGGGTTGGGAGTGGAACAGAAAGTTCTGGAAAGGGGGAGGAGGAAGCTCAGAACTCCTCGTGGACGTTGCGGGCGTAATCCATGAGTTTGCTGCCCGTGAAGTACTCGCTGTACTTGAGGATCTCCTCCAGCTCCAGGTGGTGGTTCTGGTTCTCGTCGGCCACGGCGATCATCTGCCGCGCCTCGTTCAGCGCGTTGTGCTCGTTCATGGGATCCATGTATTCCTGAGAAACCATGGACAAACGGCCTGAGCACGGCCCTGGGGGTGCTCCAAAAATCCCAGCTCCCACCCAGCCCAAAGTGGGGGAAAGGGCTGTGAGAAGGGTTACATGGGGCTTTTTGCCTGGTTTGTAGGATGCTACCAAAAAAATCGGAGATTTTTGTGGGTCATTCCATGAAATATTTCTGGATTTTGGGCTGCAAATTAAACTCAGGAAAAATTCCTGTTAAAAACAAAGGATTATCAGTTTTCAGGACCTAAATTCTCTCATTTTTCCTGCTTTGTTTGGCTGTTCCCACAGATTATTTTAAAATGCAATTAACACAAAATTAAAATTAAATGGAAATATTCCATTTTTAAATTAAAAAACGAGCTGTAAGTGCATTTGTGATGTTTCTAAAGCTGTGTTTGGGAATAGTTGGCTGGCAAAGGACGAGGACTGACCTCCAGCTCCTCCATGGTGACGATGCCGTCGTGGTTGGCGTCGATGACCTCCTGGAACTCCTTCCTCCTGTCCCTCACCCAGTCATCGTCGATGTCCTGAGCCTGCTGGTTCTCCACCGTGCCCACGGGCAGGGAGATGAACTCTGACAGGGTCAGCTTCTTATCCCCGTCCTGATCTGGGAAAAACACACACAGTTATAACAGATTCACTCAATTCCTGTTAAAAAGCACAAAAAATTAAAATACGTTCATTTAATTCCCATAAAAAGGGGTATTTCCTACTGATCTGTGAAAAAACCAAACCCCTCCCAATACCCACAGAAAAATGGGAATCCATGAACTCCACCAGACTATTCCATGCAAAACCTTCCTGAAACACACATAAAAATGGGAATCCATGGATACAATGGGAATCCATGGAACTCCACCTGACTATTCCATGTAAAACCCTCTAGAAATCCACATAAAAATGGGAATTCATGGAATCCATGGGAAGAATTCCCGGGAAATCCTGGATTACCTAAATCACGGATGATCTCCTGCACCATGAAGTGCAGCATGCCCCAAATATCCACATAAACCCAGGAATCCAAGGAATGCAGGGACAGAATTCCCAGGAATTGCCATCTTACCGAGGTCGCGGACGATCTCCTGCACCATGAAGTGCAGCATGCCCCAAATATCCACATAAACCCAGGAATCCAAGGAATGCAGGGACAGAATTCCCAGGAATTGCCCTCTTACCGAGGTCGCGGACGATCTCCTGCACCATGAAGTGCAGCATGCCGCGGCTGTGCTCGGGGTGCAGGAAGGACAGGAACTCCTGCTCGCTCAGCAGCAGGTCCGGGGGGGGATTGTCCGCCTGGTACCAGCGATCCTTCAGGTTGTCCAGCACTTCCTGCGCTGCAACGGCACCGCGGGGCTGGGATGGATCCCACAGGCTCACCCCAAACCCTGCCCCTGCCCGGCTTTGGGATCACACCTCACCCCAAACCCTGCAATGGCACCGTGGGGTAGGGATGGATCCCACAGGCTCATCCAAACCCTGCCTGGGTTTGGCTCATCCCAAACACAGCTCATCCCAGAGGCTCATCCCAAACCCTTCCTGGCTCTGGGACTGCAGTTCATCCCAGAGGTTCATCCCAAACCCAGCCTGGCTCTGGGATCACAGCTCACCCCAAACCCTGCAATGGCACCACGGGGCTGGGATGGATCCCAAAGGCTCATCCCAAACCCTGCCCTGCTCTGGGATCACAGCTCATCCCAGAGGCTCACCCCAAACCCTGCAATGGCACTGTGGGGCAGGGATGGATCCCACAGGCTCATCCCAAACCCAGCCTGGCTCTGGGATCACAGCTCACCCCAAACCTGCAATGGCACCACGGGGCTGGGATGGATCCCACAGGCTCATCCCAAACCCAGCCTGGGTTTGGCTCATCCCAAACACAGCTCATCCCAAAGGCTCATCCCAAACCCTGCCCTGCTCTGGGATCACAGCTCACCCCAAACCCTGCAGCAGCACTGTGGGGCTGCGATGGATCCCAAAGGCTCATCCCAAACCCTGCCCCTGCCCAGCTATGGGATCGCAGCTCATCAAAGGCTGCACCTGCACATTTGGGATCGCAGCCCATCCTAAACCCTGCACCCGCAGGTTTGGGAGTGCAGCTCATCCCAAACACTGAAATTGCCCCCATCTGTTTGTAGGATTTAGAACAATTGCTTTGTGGGATTTCAGTTCATCCCAAATCTTGGAATTGCCCCCATCCATTTTTAGGATTTGGCACAACCTAGTTTGAGGAATTTCAGTTGCCCCAATCCAATTTGTTAGGGTTTCAGTTGTCCCAATCCATCTTTAAGACTTCAATTATCACAATCGATTTTTAGGATTTAAATTGTCACAGTTTTTAGGATTTCAGTTGTCCCAACCCGTTTTTAGGATTTAATCTGTCACAACCCCATTATTTCAAGCCCTCAGTTGTTTAATCAATGACAGTTTTTAAGCCTAAACCCTGCAGATTTTGATCACAATATTCCACATTTTTGCTGCAAGAAAAGTTGAATTATTAGTGTATGAACAGAAAAATCAGCACCAAAATCCCATGGAATTCCTTCATCTCGTCCCACAATCCAATTATCTGCCAATATCCATCAATTAACTGAAACACAATTTAAGCCTGAAATCCGAATTTCTACAGAAGGTGCCTTAAACTCCACACCCCCAGGTGCTTTTGATTTAAAATAAAAAAACAAAAAAAAATCATTTTTACAGTGCTTGGAGGAGGAGAAAAAACCCCTGAGGAAGTGAAGGATGAATAATTTGACTTTCCTACAGAAGATTCTGGGGCTCAGGTGCAGGCTCGGGGCTGACTCAGCAGCTCTGGGGTTCCTGGAATCAGCCCCAGGTGATTTCCCTGCACACTCTCAGCTCCTTTTTCTGCCCTTCAGGCGCTTCTGCAGCACTGGAAAATGTCAGCGAAGCAATTTGGAAATGACTCAGCCCTGCAGGGAAAGGGAAAGGGGCAGGGGGGATTTTACAGGAAACTGAAATGTTGCTTCAAGGGGAAAAACAGGAAAATTCCTCCTAAAACTGCAATTTTCCTGGCAGACTCTGGTCAGGAACAATGTGGGATTTGTCCACTGACTTCCACTTTTGGGGGGATTTTAGAGGAAATTTAAATTATTTTTTTGAAGGAGATTCCTCCTAAAAATTGTAATTTTCATGGCAGATTCTGGTCAGGATGAAGGAAGGATTTCTGTCTTTTGACTTAATTTTTGATTCAGGATTTTAGAATAAATTATAATATTTCTTTGAGAGAAAAACAAGAAGATTCCTCTAAAAATGTCATTTTCACACCAAATTTCAGGTGGAAAAAAAACAAGATTTTTTTTTTTTTAATTAAGCTGGAAAACAGGAAGGTTCCTCAAAAAAAATCTCATGTTCAAAGCATATTTTACATTAAAAACTGCAGAACTTTTGGTTTATCATTTAACTCCTCCTCAAGCAGAACAACCGAAACTTTTCCCTCCCATTTCTATTTTCACCCCCAGGTTTTAATACCAAAACCCCAATTCTGCACTTACTTTCTTCATCTATTTTCAACTCCTCGTTGTTTTTGATTTTCTCTGCAATTTCCTTTTCATTGAAGCCTTTGCTTGCCAAGAATTTAATTTTATA